TTTTTTTTTTTTTTTTTACTGTGCTTCAAATAAATAGAAGAAATAGTTGTAATACTGATCTTCACCTTTGCCATTCTTGCTTCCATGCACATTAGGCTAGATTTTCCACTTTGATAGCATGAGTGTGTTTAGGCTTTTGAATGGCATATGCCATTTCTGGGAAATGTATCTGGAGGCTAAGTATTGCTTTCTACAGATAACTGACTGTCCCCTTGTTTTAAAAAAGAAATACATATTGAAGTAGTTCATGATTTGTTTGGCATTATAGGAAGCAAGCTGGTGCTAAGTATTTTTAAATGGTTATGTAAGCAACGCTGAACTGTAACTCTTCATTCAGGAATACGTATTAAGATTGTGGAATTGGGTGTAAGATTGGTAGGGGGAGAAAGTGGGTTTGGTTAAATGCATCCGTTTATGGCCCTATGATCTATCCTTTCCTTGAAAGTTTTTGAACAGTGGAAAGATCATTTTGTTGCATTTCCCTATTGTTTTTGAAAGAACAAAAACCCCAAGCCCTACAAATGGCTTGTATTGAACTTTTACATTTGAATTAAAGATTATTAAACATAAAGCCTTCACATGTATTACTTCAAAGTGATTTTAAAAGATGGAGTTTAGTCTGAAAAAATTTTAAAGTAAGATTTAATTAAAAAGTAGGTTTAGCTCTATCTGTATTCTATAACTTTTACATCTTTGTGCTATTTCTGTTGGGCAAAATCCATAGGAGTATAAAAATCTGTTGGTTCTTAGAGCTAGTGGTGACTGTTAATCTACACGGGTGCAGGATTACCATTCTTGTTTTTACTCTTTTTTTGGGTGGGGGAGAATGTAGCATTAAATCTGAAGAGTTGTTTATGCTGCACAATGCAAACACCCCTTTTTCTTCAAACCATAAAGCTTGGGATGTTTCGATGGTGTTGTCAGGTAATTGTCAACTTCATTGAATTTCCTTCCATTAGAACAAGATACTTCTTGATTCAATATTAGAGTGTTACTACTGTTGTCTGTGTACAATGGGAGCTTGTTTTCCCGGTGTAAATATGTTAGAGGGACAACTTCCTAACAGTTAAAGAAATTGAATGGTTCGGCTTTGTTCTTAGTTACGTTTCCATTCAAGTCTGTACATTATAGATTTGACTATGGAATGCCTTCATCCTTTTCACCTCTGTTCTTGGTGCTAATTGGCAAAGGAAAAATTCTAAAATCTTTTAACATGCTGAAGTTTAGTATTGTGCCTCAGTACAAAAGGAGACCTACTGAGTACTTCATAGGAAGCAAAATGATACTTTAAAGGAAAACACTAGTGCAATATAAAAGCATGTCACTAAATTCTGGTTGTGTGATAGGTACATGGTGTGCTAATTAAGGAAGAGAATCTCCTTAGAAAACGTGCTCATTTCTGTTCACCAACACATTTGGAACTGGGTAGTTCTTCCATAATTACATCAATGAGGAAGTTTTGCCCCAAGTCATACTATTAATTGGTGATACATGAGATTTTTCTGTATGAAAACAATGGTCTCAATTTGAAGGGAGTTCATTACAATTTGGTTGAACTGTTTAGTAGGAACTCTACGAATGATAAGAGAATTAGGGGTGTTCATGGGACACCCACCAAGGGTGAACTTGTGAATGTATGTGGGTGGGGGCTGGAGGGGAAATGGGAACATCTGCCTATAAAATTAATGTTTCAGTTTATTTTTCAGATTACATGCCTTTCTTTATAAGGGATGCTGGCACAGACCCCTAAAATAAGCTTTTGCTAGTACTGTACCTTTGAAGAGTGGTGAAGGATGCTAATGGATAATCTCCTGAAAGTTGTGGCTTTGATAGCCTTACTGTGGGCTGTAGAAAGCTAAACTTTGTTTAGCAAATAATGTTGTTTAGTTTCAACTGACATTTGACTTTCATCACTAAAAGAGCAGTATACCAAGGTCGTAAGCTACTCATAGACTTTAGTAAGTCTTACAATGTATATACGCAATAGGTTTTAGCCTAATGGGAATTTAAATAATGACATTTCCTAAAAGTTGACAATGAAGCTTGGGGTGGGAGAGGGAAGGTAATTTTGAAGTATTTTAGCCATTTTTTTTCTCATTTAAGAGACCACCTGCCCCTATTTCCTCCTCTTCACTTTTATCTGTTTCAGAGGAACACTCCATTTTAAAAACTTTTCTTAATCTTTAAAAAGTGCATTCTCTTAAGACATTAGTGTATTTAATAGTAGGTATATTATAAGCTTAACCCATTGGCTCAAATTACTTAGTAAAACCATAATCCTTTTTGCCTAGAACACTTAAGCTCCTTTAAGAGGTGTGATAAACCCCACCACTCTACAGATGTGTTTAGACCACTAATATAAACAGTTAATGATTTGGGAAATTGTAATGTTACGCCTGTGCAATTCTTTAAAAGTGGCATATTTAATGGCAGATTAAAAACTTAGATACTTGGCTTGGGCAAGCCACCAAGGTGTGGCAGAATGTTTGCGGTGTTCTTGGACTGCAATTATGCACTATTAAAGTAGTGGCCTGCTACATAACTGCATTTAGCCAGCATTTCTGCAGTGCGTAACTGTGAGGAACGTAGTACCGCAAATGGCAATGGACATTAGGACCCGGATGTAGTATTCCTGCTTGCTCCAAGATTCTCATTGCCGACTGCATACAGGTAGGTAACAAGCAATATAATCTAACTTGGTGACTTGCTATGTACTTTTATCCGTGGGCATTCTGACATCACACTTCTGACAATGAAATTACAGTGCAGCACCTAACACTTGTATGGTAAAGTTAGCTTACATCAAAACTGCGTGGGTCTGGGGTTAGAGCTGTAATTTGTTAGGCAGAATTCAGTGCTCTTGTAGTTCTGAGATAAAAGTGCAAACTTCTGATTCTTTGGTATATCTGACTCAGTTGTGTGGTTTTCTTTAGTTGCATTGTAACTGAAGATAACATGGAACACCAGTGGCGTGGGGGTGAGGGAACCAAACCATACTTGGAAATTAAGGTGCTCCCAGCACCTTAGCACGGACTGTAAAGCATGTGATAATTAGTCTCTCTGTGGTAGTAAACTGATCTGCCTACAGGTCAGCAGTACTAATTTCAGTATGCAATCTTGGTAACCATTCTGTAAGTTGAGTGAATAAAGACTATAGGTTTGTTTTTTGTGTTTTTTTTTTCCCTTTTGTAATGTGATTGGAAATTTTTCAAACATGGGGCTTTATGGGAATGGACACCTTTGTTACTAATGGGCTTAGATGGGACTCTAATGTGAATAGTTCAGGTTATGTGACTTGTCTCAAAATGTTTATACTAAACCTGGGGAAAGTGGTATGAAACATTGACTTGCTTACAGTTGACTACAGGTTGGAATCATTCCCAATTATAAGACTTCGTCGTATTCTGTAGAATGACTTCATTTGTTCAGAGCAGTTTTTTGAACTTGGTTCCCTTTAGCCTTAGGGATATGATGTTAACAGTCCAAAATGTTTAATGACAAGAAAATGTAAGTCTTCCAAAAGGAATCTTCTCTGTTGCTTAGAACATAAGCTTTGCATCGACTTTAAGACCTCAATTCTACTTAACTTTGGTCTCTGAGCTGGTTTTTAGCTAGCATGCATGAGAAACAGCTTTCAGTTCTAATGCTTCCTGCTCTGTAATGGAAAGGTTGGTTTACCTTGCATAAATGCCGGTGAAAACTCCTTCATGACTGAGAATTTTCTTTCATTGTATCAAGAAAATAGCTTGCTCTTTGGCAAGCAGGTTACAAGGTGGGGGACAGACTTGTATTCAAATATGTAATCCATTCAAGTGAACAACTTTTTACTTTCCCAGTAGATGAAAGCAAATGATGATGAGTTTAGCTTTTCCACATTAATATAATGCAGATCAAACAGTGATCATTGTCAGTGACATGATTATTAAATTGCAAGACCCCTGATGGGGACTCTGCAGGGTCATAATCCATTAAATGGGCAGCCATTGCTTGCTGCCATGGTTTAATGATTCAGAAATGAAAGCTCAGGTTTATTTCTTAACAGTAACAATTTTCAGAGGATGTACTTGGCATAATGTATAAGGAACATCATTGGGGTGGGGGTTAATTTTGCTTTGTTTTGCTTCAAGATTAGGTTATTGCACTTTAGAATGAGAGAAGCCATTTGAATCAATAAAATTTATATGTAGCTATAAATTGTGACTTAGTACAGTGGCTTTTTAAAAAAGCACTCAAAAAGCTGGGAATTAAGTGGGTTTCAGTAATAATGATATATACTGAGGTGCTTGCATTGTATTTCATAATATTTTTACAAACCAAAATTATGCTTTTCATTGGGAAGAATCTGAGTTCAGAGGTGTGATGTCAGAATGTATTTCGTACTGTTAGGCCCTTGGAACAGATACCGGTGCTTTCTGAAAGATGAAAGAAATGCAATGGGTACTCTTCATGCAAGGTTGCAGACCTACAAAGAATGCATAATAGTCTCACTTTCCCTAATAGAGATGCGTGTGACTAGTTTTGGACTTTTAACCTTAATGGGGGTTGCATGTTTCCTATTGTTAATCATTGTCAGCTGCAGTGACAAGATCCACAGTCCTGCATATACTACCTTTTCCTCAATGATTTTTGGACAGGTTTTAGAGAGCTGGGGTGTTTGTTCTGGGCCTTTACTTGGTTTTGGCTTTAGCTGATCATGTTTCAGTGCTGTCAGCTAGTGCAGTTCTCAAATGGCTGCCCATTAGGGAAAGAATTGAGGATTTGACTGTTCCTAATCATCTGTCATTGCTGCTAGATAATGATTGGCAATTTTTAAGACTGTGGAAATCTCACAGTTGGTGATAAACCAAACATAAAAGTTGCATTTGAACACCAGTGCTGAAATGTTTTTATTTTT